TATTATTATTACTGCTCGTACAATTAGAAAAAAACTGACAGTTCGAGAGTCGCTGATGTTTACAACTAAAGTTGACACTTTTTATACGTGTTCTGCTTAAGATAAGCGTGCTATTTTTTATTTCTATTATTTATATATTTTAACCAAATCGAAGATTTTGACGAAAAACTAGAATATTAAAGTCTAATATACAGGCAATATTCATAAATTTCAGAATTATTAATTCATATAAATGACTTATATATACGAGTTATTTTGTTTTGAAAATACAACTGTGCCGAGTTCATAATTTATATTATTCGTGCGTCTCTCCATTAAATCAAATATAAAATATAAAAATATAGCATTAAATGTGATATAAAAATATAGCATTAATAAAAAAAAATAATATCGTATTTGTAACATTTTATATGTCTACCTCGACTTTATCTGAAATTAACATTTATTATTTAGGCAGTGAAATAAATAGAAACATAATTTTTTTGATAAATACTAAATATATGAGTGACTACCTTGACATGCCATTGCAAATATAACACTGAGTCTTGCAACCTTCTTAAGTAATTTTTCCAAGGAAATAACTTCGAGAACACGTAGTTCCGAAACGTCCTCGAAAACCCCTTGGCGGAATTTCACGGCGTGGTCGCCCACGGAGGACTAAATTTTCCGGAGTTTCCTTCCTTTGCCAATAAACTGGGTTTAAACGCGGAAATCCTGCAGCATAGCGGAAGAAATGTGAAAGGAGAGAGGGAAGGAAGAGAGTATCTGTTCAAAGGACAACTGGACGACGCAAGACAAGCAATTGAATTTCTCTACCGTCAAGATGGCAGGAATTTACATTGCTTTACCTCGCCTACTCGAGGAGTCTTTATAATCCGTCGAAACGGTCGGATATTGCGTCCGACGATCATTTGGATGCCAGAATTTTATCCTCTAAGAAGGTTGGGCCGATAGCTCGTTGCCTGAAATAAATCCGGTATGGGACGAAAAAAGAGTGATGAAAGAAAAGTATCCGTATCGATAGATTGGTTCGTTCGGAGAAGCTAATAAATTGAGTTTCTCATGGTGTAACACAGCGAAGCTTACTCTGAAGAGAGGATATCCTTTTCTTTTCCGATACATTTCTATTTTATTCGCCTCAATTGCCGGTCGGTTAGACAGATTACACGCTCGTGAGAACTTTTTCTCGCAGGAATGCAAACGAATTTCAGGTTGGCTATTTATCGAGGAAGTTGGTGGTTGGTATTCGAATGATGTGCCCGGCGGGACAAGGACTTTCCTTGTGGAATGAGCCGACGGTGTAGCCTTCCTAGGAATTCAATTTAGTCCCTAGCCCAAAGACTACGCGGGTTAACGCGCATCGTACAGCCGGCAAGCTTTAATGAAACATGGTTGTGATTACCGGTAACACTTTCCTGTGTGCGGGCGAGGATTATCGCGCGATCTTACGCGCAATGAAAGTCTCAAGTGAGCGAATAATTAAGAGTTTAACTTCGTTATCGTTTATTTCGACAAATTTCGCTTTACCCCATTTAACATATGTGGACTGTACGTAGAAGTAAATTAACAATAACGCGCATATTAGTTCCGCTCCGAAGCACGAAGTTATTTATCCTTGAACGGATTTCAACTTTAATCAGTCGTTACGAACGTGTAATTGCGTAAAAGTTGATTCTGTTAAGGAGCACGAACAAATGAAATTCGTTCCTGGATATTTGACGAATCAATTTAAAGTACCTTATTTACGTAGCTTGCACCATGTCCCAGCGGAATAGGCAAGTGTGGGGACAGAACTGTGGGTTGAAATGAACCTATGAAATGCAGCAGGTGCTGCGCAGCGCTCAAACACGCAAATCGGAGAAAGAGAGAATTGCACGTCGGGATAATTTTCTTTATTTATACCGTTTTCTTCCTTTCTCGTCGAATCGTGGATCACGCGAAAGATATAAATCTTCTTACCTTTAGGTGTTCTTCGCGCGCGCGGAACTTCACAGAATTTTTCTCGAATATACGTTTCTCCATCCCCCGCCGACAAGTTTATATTTCATTCGCGATACGAGTCCAGCTTAACCGAGCTGCGACCATTTCAAGCGCTCTCGCGAAGCTTCCTGTACAGAAAACTTTCTGCGATCTAATTGGGATCTATTTCGATTTACTTAAAAAATGATGGATTCTGATGGGAGAATCTATGAAAATTCGGATTAGAGGTGTAATGTTTCAAAAGTGCGACTTTAAGTGGAAAGTCCGGACAGATTCCATTTGTTTGGCCCAAAGTTTTCCTCAAGATTTCTTATGACCGGCATAAGGATGAGATTCCTAATTGATATCACGATATGTTACACTTGGGATAAATTTGAGTAATCCGATCGGAATCTATGCTGCACTTGAGGATGTTTGGGGAAATTTCTATACGAGTTATTCGATGCCGGAGCGTAATTATCAAGTGCGGTTTTTATTGGAATTTTTATTAGAATTTCAAGATTCCGCGAAAGAAATTTCGAGTGACAAAATTGCAGGCTGAACCGTTCAGCGGCTATACGTGTTACGTTGCGTACCACAGGTGTCACACGGCTATACCGCACTTCCAGCTGCGGATACGCGTTATAATTGTAGCTATCATGTCCAGAGCTTGACGTCATACGCTTCGGCAAAATTGGTGACCAGCGACGTTCCGAACATCGCTAATCCGGCGCTCCGATAACGTTAATTGCGTTAAGCGGCGGGATTCCGCGACAGGACCGCTTTGCGTTCGTGTCTTTTTTGCGCCGGCATTGCCTTATTTTGACATGTCATTCGTGATACGCGCTATTGAATTATCCGTTAATTTCCGTACGTCACGCTTTCCGCATTAACGTCACGACGCAAATCGGCGATGAAAAGTACAGCCGTGTGCGCGGCGCTTTCGCGTTCGGGGAACGCTTATCAAACGCCCACCGGCCGGCAGATGTGATCGCAGTTAATGTCAACGACATCCGTGCGAAATTTACAAAGGATGTTTTGGTGCTTAGTATGAAACCACCGCCGAGGAATTTCTGCGATTCCATTTGAATTAACGTGAGCCGGACTCGATATAGAAAGGAGGTTTCTGTGATTTAGTGTACATATTTGTTCGAAACGAACTTCCGTTCGTTTAATACAAATAACATCATTTAATTTATCAGATATCATTGTGTTCGAATGAAAATGTCGTTATCTCACCAGAGTACGTCTCACTATGTTTGATGGGAAAAAAGAAAAACAGGATTATTTAGAGGAAACAATATTTTGTTTTCAATAAGAAGAAAATGATTTCATTATATATCATTCCATTGTATATCGTCCTGCTAAAACAAGGAAATTGTTTAATATTTTTCTAACAGAGTGTTACTTTCCTTTCCAATAATTTATTGCCCGTGAGAACCAATGTAATGCTTGGATGAAAACAAAAAAAGTGATATACAATACACGAGACGCAAGAATATTTATGGTTTGAGAAATCAAATAATCCTATTTGCTGAGTCAAACATTCGTTCATTTGCTCTGTTCCGAAGGATAAATTTGCTTCAATTAAAGAGATCTTATTCCCCGAACGAGCTCCTTTTAACTCCAGAAAATCCTTCTCCCAGTGTATAAAAGCTCCGTGTCGGTGATTTATAACGTTTCATAAACTCCACGCGAAATTAGCGCGACCGGTGAAACGAAGGTTGGAGCAACAGCCGTAACTTTTCAAACCCCATTAACGCCCACCGTTGGGGGAAATGCGGCTTTTCGCCGGGCAGAGTAGGAACGAAGTCATCGTCATCGCGAGGCCCGCACGAGTGCCGACGATGATCGATGTGCGTTACGACGTTCAAGATCCTCACGTGGACGGGCTTTAAGCGCTTTCGGCGCTTGCGGCAAACGACGATATTCCTTCTTCGCTTCCGAAAGCTCTCTTCGTGTACCACAGCGTGACATATCCACGATCGCGATTATGATTACGCGTAAACGGCTCGTGTTGCACGCGCGCGCGCGCGCAGAGAGATTTAATTTATTCGTGATATCGGGACGATGATTTAATTACGACACAGCTGGTCGACATTTCGCGCGTTACGGATTAATTCTCGTTGTCCTCCACCCGTGCGAGACCGCGTCTCATCAAATTTTCATAAATTCTCCTGCGCGACTCCCTGTCCTCCTCCCTCTCCCTCCTGCCCCCCTCACTCTCTCTCTCTCTCTCTCTCTATCTATCTTTCTCTCTTTCGCTCTGATAACGTTGGTAACCTGTCACGCTCTGAAAAATTACTATCAGGACGTGACGGCTGCCACGATAATACTTGCGCGTGACTTGGTTCCGCAACGTTCGATTAAAACCAACGGATTGATACAAACAGTGGGTTACCTTGAGCGATGAAATAATGTCGATTGAAATGAAGTGGAATTCCGGGAACATCGAACACGCCGGCTCTCGCAACAAATTGCAACGCCGTGCCGCGCTCGCTCGTCGGAATTTTTCGCTTTTTCGAGCCTCGCTTCCCCCCATCGATATTTTTGCGGTGAAAATTCGCCGCGGAGATAAAATAGTTCGCGGAAACTGTTAATAGCCGCGGCGCGGTGAAACTGCGAAAACCGCGAGCGTTAACTCGGCCTCGCGAAGTTACGGGGGACGAGGGTCGCGGAAACGCGCGCGGGTGGAAGTGGCGAAAACGATAACGGCGGCGAGATGAATAACCCCCGGGTATCGTCGCTGTCTCTCGAGATATCGAGCGAGAAGGGCGCGCCCTCCCTCAGCATTTTTATCGCGTTCTTCCCTTTTTTCCGCTGCGATTCTCGGTCAAGCGCATCTCACGAGATGTTACTCGCGGATATTCCGCGCGCTCATGCGTGATATCGAGCGCGGCCTCCCTCCGTCGTCCCCGGCGAGCGGGTGTGTCTATTAGACGAGGGGATCGCGCAAAGACGCACTTTCGCGCTTTCACGCCGTCCGACCGGCCGTAGGAAGAGGAAGCGCGCCCTGACGTGCAATGCTCGGTGCGTTCCAGGTGACGTGCCAAGATGAAGAGAGCAGCTATTGCATACCGAAGCAGACCTTCGTGGCGCTGCTGCGCCTGCCGGAGGTCAGCTCGAATCTGGCGGCCTACTCGAGGACGGCGAGGATCATTCAGGAGACGAAGAATCGCAACGACATGGCCCATCTGAAGGCCCTCAGCCTGGAGGAGAGCGACGACGCCGAGATCTGTATACCCAGCGGGCTTTATCTCGAACTCTTCAGGGACCCGGCTCTGCGAGGACATCTGAGCGTGATGGCTCGCACGCAAAAGTTGCCCGAATTCCCGGGACGCCTTCTGGATGACAGCGAGGAGGCTGAGACGAGGGACGCGATCCCCGAATTGGAGAAACGCAGCCTCGCCACGTTGGCCAAAAACGACGATCTGCCCATCACCATTCGTCAAGGCGGCGGTGACGACGGGGAGAAACGGAGCACCCATTCCAGGTGTGTACTCGCGGAAGTATATGCTGAGTTGGGTAATAACTAGTTGATCTGTTGAAAGTCAAGTTAAGCAGCAAAAAGTTAAGCAGTTAATCACTTTTTTTAAACTTAAATTAGCTAGTTTAAAATGAGTTGACTTTGAATCTTAACGGGTTACTTAAAATGTGTATTAAAAATTTAGCTTATTAATTTAGTTTTAAGCTATAAAGTGATACTTTTAAGTTATAAAGTGATTCATTAATATATATGAAATAATAGCCGCTTACAATAGAGAATAACCGTTACAGGAAGGTATTACTACTGGCTTTGATAAATCGGCCAGTGATAAATTATTGTTGCTCAGCAGTTTTATTATTCGTATGAGTAATAAAACTATTGAGCAACAATAATTTATCACTGGCCGATTTATCAAAGCCAGTCATATTTTTCTGTGTAAGGGAAGAGAAATCGAAATTAATATCGACAGAATTTTCTTTCGTCTCTTCATCTGTCTTTGAGAGTGCTGGTGCTCTTTTTTTATATGAAATTCTAAAAACGAAACAATCGATATTTTCTTATAAGATTATTTTTTCATTATTTCACATAAATTTAATCTACAATGAAAAGATTATTTATGCAAAATACACGTATATATATGTGTGTGTATGTGTGTGTGTGATTTTAAACTTGATTTAATTTCATAAACCATTAACTTTTAACTTCTAACTTAATTAAAAAAACAAATTTACTTATTCAACTTCATTCTCTGGAAATATGCGACACGACACCTAAGAATTTCTCTTGGCTCTTTTGCTTATTATTTCTGTCATGACTATCGATCAAAATATCCAATATAATTAGAGAGTGATAGAATAAAGGCAAAATCAATAAATATTATAAAACAATTTATCTTTCCCCGCTATTATGTTGAAATTATCACTTCCAATATACTTTGTCGATCGATTCTTATTAGCCCTCCTTCCCTCTCTCTCTCTCTTTCTCATCTTACATTTTTTGTCAAATAAACAAATAAGCAAAGTAAATTAAACGAGAATAAACAGTCATTCTTACAAAACGTTATCCCGATCAATTGGATCAGCGACAGTCTGGACAGTTTGAGCAGACTTCTGGCGGAGGAGTATCGTCGGCGAGTACCCGAGATCTACGACTTCCTGTCCGAATTGGAGCCGGAGGAGGGCGAATACGTGCTCGACAAGCGCAACGTGGGCTCCCTGGCGCGTGACTTCGCCTTGCCCACCGGTAGACGTCACATCGCCTCGGTGGTGCGCGATTACGGTTTGCCGAGCGGCAAGAGGAACCTCGGCGCCTTGGCGAGGCAGAGCATGTTGCCGTTGAACGGTAAGAGAAACGTCGCCTCACTGGCGAGATATTACATGCTGCCGCAGGCCGGCAAGAGGAACGTCGCCGCGTTGGCCAGGGACTCATCTTTGCCTTACGGCAAGCGTTACCTCGGTTCGCTGGCTCGGAGCGGCGGCTACCCGATTCACGGCTACGACGACGGCAAGAGGAGCATCGCCTCCTTGGCTAGGAACGCTGACTGGCCGGCTTTCGCGAAGCGAGGTGGCTCGGCGGCACCTGGCAGAATGATGGCCACGATGCGAGTGCTCAATCGCCACGGAAGATCCTTGAACGACGATCGCGAGACGGGCAATCAGGAGCCCCTGGACCTCCAGCGACTCATCAGGCAGGGGCACAACGGCGACGAGGAGAAGGTGGACCCTGCCGAGTGGCAGACCACGCCGTTCAGCGTCTCGGACGAGCTGGAGGACACCAGGGCGAAGAACAGGTCCAGCCGGAAATTGGACGTCGCGTCGCAAACGAGACACAAAAGACAGATCGACTTCTCCGACGAGTATCCGCTGCCGGTCGTGCAAAACGCCAACGTATTCGACTACGAGGACATGATCGAGGCTCTCGCCGATCACTATCCGAACGCGGAGAAGAGGTTCATGGGTGAGTAACGATCGGGTCTGATATTTCGCTTACTAAACTGAGGGACCAGATCGGTCCGGATGAATTTGAGAGATGGCTCTCCGGTGAAAACTTGGAATTACCGTAGAGTCTGACAATAAAATGTGCGAGGTGCCCAATATCTTCGGCCCTTTCCCTTTCTTTTGCGAGCGAAGAAGGGCTCGGTGAATCGATACTCGGCATCTCTCCAATCGGCAAGAGCTGGTGCTTAATTATTACGGATTATTCGTCGATTCCCGATGCGTCTTCCTGAAAACGTCTCGGAACGTGTGTGTGAACTGTGAACTCTGTCGGGAACAGGTTCCGCGCCGGAGATGCCGGCCGACTCGGGCTACCCTGAAGTTTTGCAAACGAGTAAGAGGCATATCGGGGCCCTCGCGCGCCTCGGCTGGCTCCCGTCGTTCCGTGCACCACGATTCTCTCGGTCGCCGCGATATCTGGTCGAAAGGTCAGACCATTAGGCTCTCCGTGTCCTCCGCCGTGTCCTCTTCTTCCACTTCGATGTGTGATGTCCGCCGTTTGTCCGTACCTGTAACAAGTAGAGCCTCTACCTACAGATTGAGATAAATATGTCATATGTGTGTAATACCAGCCACCAACAGATCTCTAAGCCACGCATCACGTCACGTCAAATGATAACTCACCAAATATCAGCCCAACCACTTATCACCATCGACAATTTACCACGTAACAAAACAAAAACGTCCTCCAATTGTGTCTTCTTCTTCTACTTCTACCGCTACTGTTACCACCACCACCACCAACACCACCACCACTACCACCACCACCACGATATCCCAGGACTCGTTACGGTAGTTGTTAGGTGTACAATGTCTCGATGTAGTGTCTCACTGTTTAGAGATTAGCGGCTCGATGTTAGATCGTTAGATCGCTGGTAGATCGATGTTAGACGAACTAGTGATTGATAGAATTAGCGATGTTCCTTTCAGCATTCTCGCCGATGGATCTCAAGGTTAGCGAATGCGTTTGAATAGGGAATGTGGGGGGAGAGCGCGACGACGCCGATCGTCCCCACATTTCCGCTTGTGCGCTCTTCGACGAGTCGCCTTGAGAACCATTATACGTCATTCCGTGATATTTCTTTAAATACGCGACGCGCAGGTGCAGCGTTACATTCGGAACGGTTTTATCAAAGGTCCGTGACGTTACATAATTCTACGGGGGAAGTGGCGTCGCGCAATCGACGGGCAGGATTGAAAACCATTATCGAACGCCACTATGTTCGTATTGGAGGTTCGATGCGTTAAACACTCCTGTGTCGTCAGAATCGTCCTGAGAGCGAGAACGGTTAAACTGGACTTCTCGAGGACAAGAGACAAACCGATTGAATAATGATTTATCATTTACCCGGTTTTCGCACAATTGCTTGTTTAATTTGTTACAATTTAAATCCGACTTTTCGTATGTTTTCTTTGGGTAAATTTAAATTAAAATTTGCGTTTCTTTAGAAAAAATGCAGTTTAAATCTGTATTTCTTTAGAAAACTAGAGGAAATCTTTGGAAAATTAAAATTTCACATAACCGGCGTAAGAAACAATCATGCACGACGGGGGTGAATTTCCATCGCTACTCCTTCCACGGTGATAAATGTTGCACACTGTCAGCACCGCGCGCTACCAATTTAGAGCCCTAGAAGAATGGCTGACTTATACTTCCAAGACAATTTTTACACCCTTATCTTGATCTAAATTATCATTTTTCGCCTTCTTTTATTGCACAATGGTTTCCCGAGTCGAAATTTCAGTTTTACGTTAAATCTGCTTACTTCTACATTAAGTTTTCAAAGGACTTTTATTGTACTCCCTTTGATGTTACTTCTTTTGATGTAAATGAGAAGTTATTCCCGTTTTCCCCACTTGAAGACTTAATGAAGAACTACCTGTCTAACAAAAATTGTTCATGTATAAAAATTTATTATCAGATGTAATTATATATAATTATATATAATCGAATATAATTATATATAAATATATATATATAAAGTGATGATATAGAGTTTATATATGATTATAATATACGTATATATAAAGAGTTACATATGATTACGCATAAGTATGAATATTTACATATGTATAATTATATATGAGAAATTTTTTCCCGAGAGGGGGATGAATACATTTAAAGTAGAGCCATAATTTCGACTCAGCTTGTCATCGATCATAAAGAGAACAGCTTTTTAGTTTAAGATCCAAAGCACAAGACAATTATTGTGCATTAAATACAGAGACTTAAGGCATGAGATTTGCCTCTTATCGTCTTGAATCGTTAATTGAATCAGCCATTCTGCCGAGGTCCTTAGTTACATGTTTAGAATTAGGAATCCGATATGTGGTGTCGAGAAAGAGACGGCGTTCGGTGGATATAACGAAGAAACGTATGACGAATTTCAGGGAGAATCCCGCAGATGGGCCCGCGTCCCACTACACCACCGACACGTCGGCACGGTCGCTAAGCCCGTTATTCACCCCGAAAACTCGCTACTTGCAGTCCTTGCACGGAGACTGTCGACACGGCTTCAAGAGGTTCCTGCTGTTACCGGACGTTGATGACTTTCTTCGACCGAATTCCCGCATCGCGCCTCGTTCCATGTAAAGTTCTCGTTTCACTGTTCATCCAGGTGCCGTTTTAAATATATAACATATGTCGGGATCACAGCGTGGTACCCGGCGAATTGAAAGGACGAGGGGAAAACAAGCGCGTACGATTAAACGAATGTAAATATTCGGATCCTGAAAAGCCGGCGTTTCTTCTTACTCATTATCGATGGTGGATATCGAATTAGTCGGATATCCCGATTACACAATCGGACGCTCGAATATAATCGGTGAAATAATAGATGTACGTTGATTCGGTCGGTTTTATGAATTATTAGACAAATTTTGGAAGAATACGAGCGTAGAAGTAAGGAAACACGTCGTATATACTTCAACGGACAATCCCTACGCTCGCGGGGGATTGATCCTCTCGCAGGATCCGTCGACAATAAGCTTACTTTTCGCTGACAATAATCTTACGTAATCCTAATGTAAAGCCTTAAGTGTGCCGTCATGTGTCGAGCAGAGAGCGATTTGAATTCTCACGCAGAAAGCGTGTATGTCTAAAGCAAGTTCTAATTCTTCGCGCGACATATCCTTCTCGTTCGAGAGGCTCTCGTCGGACTACAAGAGGGTTCAGTTTTTCCTCAAATCTGTATTATGTAAGGAAACCTACGTCGTCGGCCGTTACCGCCGGGTTTCCTCTATAAATCCACGTTCTCTCAATATATTTGTATCTTAATATTTCTCTTAATGTCAATGTGCAGCTAAGATGTTATTCCTGTGCCACGAGAACCTCGAACGTTGGCGCGCACGTGAGCGAAATCGACGAAGCCAAGAAATAATCTCCGTCAGTAGAGATGGGCGATGTATGTGCCGATGAAACGAATATGTTTCCGTTCCTCCGTATCTTCTTTTCATCTTCAGATTTTGTCACCGCTCCTCACGAGCCGCGATACTTTTTCTTTTCATTCGATGCGACCCATATTTCCTATTATTACGAGTCTCGTTATCGTGTTTTTTTAACTAAATGTACTCGATTCGTTTGAATTGTCCCGATAGCTGCTCAGAGATTTTTCTTTCTTAGCCATCTTCGAGCTAGAAGATTTATTTTCGAGTTTTACGATTGCAATAGGAAGATACTTCGTTCACTTTCAACTTGTATGACTCAACGGTAGGTCAGTTGCACTTGCACGCTACGCAAATTGAATTAAATCGACTAATAATTAAAAACTGACTAATTAAAAAGTCATGTATACAGAATGAAAAATAGGCAAAATCCAACGATAACTATAGCAAAAATTGTGATAATGAGATAGAAAGCATTTTATAGGTCTTGAGATCTCAAGTTTTCAGTACGTTATATGATATATGATCTTAAAATTGTTATTGACTTTTTACAAAGATATATCAAGTTAAATATGAAAAATAGCGCTCGTTTCATTTCTAATTTAAATTTTCGGTTGAGGTTCGTTGTGACAGTGGCGGCTCGTAGTGTGGTCTTTGGAACTAATAAAAATAACGGGTCTCGAGCAAGGATTTGCCGTAACGATCGAGCTATGAAGGGTTACTTTAACGGGTCTAACCGAATTGGTTTTCAATGGAGAAACGCGAGATGGCACTGGGCAACCATTAGCCAATTGTTATCGGGTCTAGCAGTTGGACCAGTTTCAGTTGGACCCTTTACGTCTAACTTTTTGTAACTAGACGTTATTCTTACTTTTTAGTTTCAAACTCTCCGCTACGGGCCGCCACTCTCTTGAAGGAGGGACCGAACGCGTAGTTCGACTTAAACGACGGATAGACCTTTTATTAAACAAGCAGTACAGGTTAATTACAAATTAGACCACACTACGAGCAGCCACTGTCTCAACGAATAGTCGAGTACGTAATACGGACTTAACAATGAATCAGACTTTTATTCTCCCTCGAATATAAGCAAACTTTAATATAGACTTTTACTTTTACTGTAAAATATTTGAAATTCAAATTTATTTGTAATATCGGCAAAAATGATGACCCCAAGATGATTCTGAAAGTATTTTACTTGATTTCTTGGAGTCCCTAATTTTTAGTACGTTACAACCACACAAAGTTACTGTAGCTTTTCGCAAAGATATATCGAGTTTAAATGAAAAATGACGTTTGTCTAAATTTCAATCTCTTATATTCTGATTAAGTTTCTACATCGAAAATGTATTTCCCAAATGGCAGAGTGACGTCAGAGGACGTCGTATTGACGGCAATATGTCGTCTCTAGCGTCAATATGACGTCTGCTGACGTCATTCTGTTACTTAGGTTGCATTAGAAATGTATATATGCATTTAAAAAGAAGAAATTTTAAGCTTTCTATTTATTACTGAATGTGAACTATTTAGAATTGAATGTAAACTATTTAGAATTGAATATCGCATACTAATTCGTTCTGTCTTCTATGAACGATCAAAGCCGAAAAGACGTTATTTTTATACATTATCGTCTCGACTTATCGTTGAATGACCAAAACTGAAAAAATCACATTTATTTGTTTATTTCATTTCTCTTATTTTAACGTCGCTCTTCCCATCGACAGTTTCGTATAAACGTGCTATCGGATATTTTTAATAATAATTTATTATAGATATTAAGTAAATATTAAAATATTAAAGATTAATGGGCTATTGTCGATATTTTTAAGATATAACTGATTATCAGGGATATTTATTTTTTTACAATCGTTCAATTTTGGACGGCGGTTCATTTGTTCAATATCGCCCATTCCTATCCATCAGCGTAGTAATATATATATATATATATATATATATATGATGTAAATGCGAAGTTAGTGCTCAGAGCTTGCAAGCTCGCTAGTGATAACGCCAATTCGTTTCCACCTTAGTGTCTCCATTGTATCTCGTTTTAATATCTCGTTAGAAAGATCGTTATGTAACATGTATGTGGTATTGCATGTATGCAATCGAAATACGCTCGATGTCGCGATATCATCGGTCTATCTCATTGCTGTGGATGACATATATAAATCTATCGATTCTCTTTAACTTTACAATTTCAAGTACTATGTGTTTGTCTAGACAATAATAGATAGAACCGAAGTGACAATAAAGCGATAATAATATTGACATAATAAACTCGAATTTTAATCCACGCACATGCTAGCAATGCATTTTATTAATCCCCGATCGACGAGAGAAAATCGTCATTCAGAATTGTCCATGATGATTTATGTTACATTTCATTCGAAGGGTTAGCGAAAGGGGAGAAGACAGAAAGTCGATGTAATCATAAACGAGTGATAGATTTTATTATGAACCGCTTCTATTCCACATTTATTATTTTATATTACATTTTTACGCGCTCGATATTGCGCGCCATCGATAGTCGGGAATCAATGCGAAACGAAGTAATACATAACTCGGTTGAATGATAAATATATATGATTATTCAATATCACCACATTTTTGCAATGAAACAAAAAGTAACAGATATTCGCAAGATTGCGCTTTAATGCGAAATATATATTTTCAACCATTGACGGTATGGTGCAATAACATAGTATTGTTATTAATTCCATGGGTTCGCAGATCGTCCTGAGATTGAAGTAATTATGCGTGTTATCCAGTCAATGATACCTCTCAAGGAATTCTCTCGTTGCTTGATTCCAGGATTTTTATTATTATCATTATTACCATTGTTATCTGCGCTTGTCCACCAAGCCAAACTTTTATCAACGTCACTATCACCGTTGGCTGCAACGTTATTATTGTTGTCATCTGCATTGTCCTTTATCAAGAGATTCGATGGCGTGTTATCGAAATTGGAATCATCGTTATTATTGTTTCGATTACCGCGTTTGTTCATTAAAGAAAATATGCTTCGCCGTTCATTTCGGGATTGTCGGTCCTTGTCGACGTCTGGATTTTCAGGACTATCAACGATCGATGAAAGTTTCTGGGCTTTCTTTGTTGTCTGTTCCTGGGACTTTGATGTCTGTTCCTGGAACTTTGTTGTCTGTTCCTGGGACTTTATTGTCTGTTCCTGGAACTTTGTTGTCTGTTCCTGGGACTTTGTTGTCTGTTCCTGGGATTCTTCATTATCATTGCCATCACCGGACTTTTTAGTCGTATTATTTTCTTGCGATTTGCAACGTACTTCAGGAGTCTCGCTTATGCAAGGAGCGCTTGACGTGCAGCGTTTCTCTTTTTCATCGTACGCTTGGTCGCAGCCGCAGGACATCTCCACCGGCGTGTACTTATGGGGTGACAATTCGGCGCACAGGAAGAACGTTCCGCAACTGCCAGGATCCGGCGGCTGAGTACCGGTCGATCTGCAATGTCTCTCGCATCTCTGCGAGATCAGGTTGTACTTCTCGTATTCTTGGCACCGTCCGGAGATGTACGCCTTGCCGCCGAAACATCTGCCGTAAATACGGTCGTCCCGTGGATACACGATCGGCGTACCGTCTTGATTGCCGCAAACGAATCGCACGCAATCGGAAGTCAGGCGTCGATACTTGCAGCTGCCTGTAGCATGATCGTAGACATTGTTCAACGGACATACGTTGGTTGTGCGAAAACCTCTTATGCATATGTGATAACGTGTGCAATCCTCTGGATCGGGATACACGCCGTCCACTGCAGGACAACTAAATATCGACGGGTCGCAACGGGGTTCCGGTATCTATAATGGTGGTGTTATAAAATATTGGTTACAACAACTGGAATACGCAACAAAGGCAATTAACACGTTGACTGATTTACGTTTATCAATTTATAAATAAAACGTATAAAACGTGTAATCCCAATTGCATATAATAAATTAATTAAATGCCAATGGTAATGAAACGAGTTAATAGATGTGTGCATTGCAAATTACTATTATTTACCATACTTTTGGTAATTTTTAAATAAACTTTAGCTGAATGGATAATAATTTTTTTTTATTATGTGAAGTAATTATTTTTTATTTTGTGAAGTAATTTTTTTTATTATGTGGAGTAATCAATAAAAATCAGTGTGGTAGTCAGCGTGTCAAATATAACGCGAGATGGATATTGGCGATCCATTTTGGTTTAATGAATATATATTGGTTTAGAGAGTAAATTTTTAAATCAATTGTGCACGATCCATACCCTGGAACATACACCGTTGTTGCAGTAGCGCTCAGGTGTATTGGAGTCGCAAGTTATAATACCGTATTGCACCCATTTGCCATCGGCCGATTGTACGCACCATCTTCCTTCGTTGCACTTGTGTTCAACGCACATAAGTTGCGAAGTGCATACGGCGGTCTCATTTGGAGCTATGGTAATAGTTCCCGAAAAAGGTGTCAACCATTGGCCGGACGTCACGTCGAAGACGAACGCCTGAAAGCGTAAATATGATTGTCTGAACGATGACCTAGTCAGAAGCGCAACGTTAAATCGAATTTGATTCGACGTCGGAACTCGCCGAGTTAAATGAAAGTCGATTCTACTGCAAAATTTATGATTTTTAATATTTTTTCAATATTTCTTAGATTATATAATTTATTTAAACTGGCTGTTAGTGTTATTCTTGATCGTTATTATTAGTCAATGATAAAATAATCATAACATCAATGATAAATGCTGAGAAATTTCCGATAATGTTGAATCGATCGAACTCCCTACTTTATCCACCTTTTTTGCCTTAAGTTGGTAATACGTAACAGAGTGTAATCGGAAAGACTTTCATTTTCATCCTAGGGATAGAAATAAAGGATTCTAATTTGTTTAAAAAAGAAACACTCGAAAGGTCAATATATGTACTTAGAAAATACATAAATAATATATATATAATTTTTTTTATCAGTATATATTTTCTCTAATTTTTCCAAACAAATACTTTTTATTTTTAAATATAAGATTATAAATACATTTCTATCTTCCAATTCTGTTGCAAATTATATCATATCAAAGGTGGATTTTAGCTTGTAGAGCAAATTCTCTCTTCTTTTGAGACTTTAATCGACTGGACTTCGAAACAACGTTGAAATTACAGCCGGAGACACATCTATATTTATACGTAATTGTCGAATCAATCTAAATTTCGGCATTGGCTCGACATCGAATGAACTATGCGTTTCCGACTGGGGAATGTAGTCGCACGACCAAAGCACTTACCAGAAAGACCGCGAACTCTGCGTATCGACTCATTTTCGCATCAACTCGAGAGATATTCCGATCCGAGCTCTCTTCTCTTATATCTACTTGGCTTCTTAAAATTCCACCGATGCAAAAGGGGAGAGAGAGGGAGAGAAAGAGAGAGAGAGAAAGAGAGAGGAAGAGAGAGATAAATACGCCACGTCACACAAATCATAAATATTCGTTCGAGATAACGTTTATGATTCCTGAGAATGATGCTGTTAATGATCAACAAATCCATTTGATAACGCCTTCCGAGAAGTTCGGCGTATATCAGTTCAAACATTCGCATGCCTAAGAATGCCGTACACAGAGAGAGATTTAAATTTGAAATTTGAAATTTGAATCTGTTTACGATAACACTCGAAACACAGAAGTGAAAAGAAGCGTCGACGTAAACGCGTGCGCGAGACTGTTTTGACAACATCAAAATCGCCTACGGAAAATCCTAAATGTTTTCGGGAGCGCTGATTGTTGTAATTTTTCGGCCACCTGATCTGCGTCATCGATCAGAGGGCGACGACAGATGGCGACGGCAGATAATTTCGACCCTTTAAGTCGATTGTTTTGGTATTCTCATGCGACGGTACTTATTCTGTGTTCCGAGACATTACGTTTCCAGCCGGCGAGTTACGCGCGTACCGCGACGCGAGCTACGTGCATCGGTGTGTCAATTTCGTAATTTCGGGTGAATTTTCGAACGTTTCATCAAAATCTCGCTCATTAACACGCGTCTTTTTAATCGAATCGTATCTCCGCAAGTGTCGGTGTCAATGTCATGATGAATCAGTCGGAAACAACGCGCCGGATCGAGAAGCCGTGACAGCGGGAAACGATACGTTATATGTTTCCAGGTATGTGAAATTAATTTATTACACAGAACGTTTTTCCGATTTTTTAACGAACGTTCGACCGAATTTACAAAGAATGAGGAGACATCGAGTCGAAATTTAGCATTCGTAGTCGGTCGTCATTTGACGAATAATTGGTTTCATAAATCTCCGATTATCTGCCGACCTGTTTCATACAGCGAGATATATTGATTCAAACGGCTGAGTAACGGCTCGTGAATACGAATTTGTAATTAAGCTATCGATCTAAGACCGTAAATAAGTTAAATACTATAAATGTCAGCTTTAGAACCGAGTGTTAATCTCGCGAATGTTGATTTATGCGTCCAATATTGTTTTTTCGGTCGCAAATCTCATCTTAATGGCATTTATCAACACCTTTTCACCCGTCTTTATCATTGAATTTACTTTTACACTCGATACTTTTATGCTAGAGCAGATAAAAATTTGGTTCGACTGTTGATTGAAATTAATTTTTATTGCACCGAATAAGAACATATCAGACCTCAATAATGTAATTGTCACGAAGGTATTATCTTTATATATTAAACAAACATTATATATGTACATGTACATATTAGTATTATTGCCTATATATGTGACATCGATAATTGACAATCGAACCGAACTTTTAATTGACCGAATTTTTCGCATCCAATAAATTTATTTTGAGGTTTGTTTACTTCCGATATATTTGGAACTTTATTTTGCATTGAATTTTTATTCGGTAACTTTATATAATTTTTTCCGTGTGTATATTAGATAAATATATCTGAAAAAAATCGATAATATAATAAAAGAAGAGTTGACTATTTTTGCGCCGCAATATTTCAAACTTTCGCAAGTTATAGATGTCACGTCCAAATGTTATCGTAACTTGTTTTTAAATGCTGTTAATTTCCATAAATCTTCTAACCTATTTCTAAGACGTTACGACACAGTAGACGATATTGTTGTCTAATTGAGGAAGTTTGCTTACCGTGCGTCATAGCTTACCGTGCTTAATTTTGTGCAAAGAATGATAATAGAGAATTTTCTATACTTATGATAAGCTGAACTTCTTCAACGGGCAACAATAAGTTTGCGATAACTGACGATAACCATCCGATTAATGACGAAATGCTTACATGTTCGTGTTTGAAAATCAATCTACACAGATATTGTGTAATTTTTGCTTGCCAAATTTAATGTCAGACAGATGAAATAATTAATACGACGAGAAGGGAACAGTCTTGAAAAAAAATCATTTTCTGCAGCTTAAAAGTTCTTCAGTCGTCGAGCAATTCAATGTTTTTTTCTCTTAATAATTATATAACGAGGGGAAGGAAAATGAAAATTACGAGGGAAGATGTAAAGTATTATTGATAATATATTATAAATATTTATTTAATAGCGAGACGGCACAATTTATTACGAGATATACATATATGCATATGTATATGTGTATAAATAGCTGTATCTCCGGCGTGTTCTTTACAGTTGATCTTTATACAATACAATTGGTCGGCTAAAATATTCCACCCATAGTGCGGTGGTAATTAAGCTGCGCGTGCGAAGTGTAATCGTAGCCTTGGTCGTACCAGTCCGGCGTTGTCGCTGTATTCGTGGTACACGAGGACGGAGTATTTTGACTCGCGTGCGAGCCGTGCTGATGAGCCGCGTGACTCGATCCGTAATCGCCGCTTTGAAAATGATTAAACTGCCCCCAACCAAGCTGCGTTCTCGACCAGTCGGTGTTACCTGGAAATAAGAGCATTCAATAGCAGAACATCAAATTTTAACACGTGTCCTCGTGTCCCGTCGTTGAAATACGTTTTTCATAAAAGAAACGAAAGCAGTTCGGCAATTTATACTTTTTCAATCTTTTCGATGGATGGAGAATACACTTGAAAATACGAACGTTGAACGTCGGGATGTCAAATTTAGATACGAGTACTTCGCAATTTCGTCGCTGAAATACTTTTTAACATGTCGACTACCGGGTTAAATTCTATTGCCTGCATTCAGCGGAGAAAATAACTCAGTGAATGCTTAATAATTATTACGCCTTATTGGTACATTCTTGTAGATCTATTGAGAATCTAAAAGAATACTAGTTACAGACAGTAATCACTAAGCGCTCACTGAGTTTCTTTCTTTGCTAAACGCAACTATTGATTGTACAAAAGCCTAAGATAATTGAAATGCTAAAAGTACAATATATGAGTGTAATTTGAGATGCACATGTTTTTTTACTTCGTTTCATTGGTTTTTTATTGATTATACACAGTTATTAAATTTAATGGAAAAATAGAGACATTTTGCCAATTTATCTTTACATATTTTTTTATGCAATATTATGAGTTGATTTGTGAGAATAATAAAACTTTTGTACGCATTTGTATGTTATGGGAAAGGCTTTATTTTATAAAACTATCCATGTAGATCTAATCGACGGTAGTTTAAAGTGTGTATCTTTGCGAGCTTTGTCAATATATTCTTTGCAAGTAGACAATTCTACACTAGCAGGAGAGAGCTATTCGACCGGCTGAAAAGTTGTGATTTTAAATTTAATTATCAGCCATCTTTCGAGGCACATAGTGATTCTGACACTTCCGATTAGCTACGTATAAATATTGACCATAATAAATTTTGCTTTCTCCACGTTCTTGTGTTGTGCACGGTTTCTTTCGTATAAATAATATCGCATAAATGATAAACGCGTCTTTTTCCATCGCAAATTAATTTCGTCCCGTCGGATTTGCAAATTGAACCACTGTGCAGCCACGTGTTGAATATAAAAAAGAAATCAAGAAAAAGAAAGAAACGAGGACAATTCGAGGTTACGCGCCGACATATCGACCGATAGGTCGAAGAACGAACCGGTACCCACCGCTGTTGTGCGAGAGCGACGTGGGTGCGCCGTGCGCGGCGGGTGGCTGCATCGTCGACACTTGCGCGAGTTGCATCGTGGCCGTGTGCGCCGGAAGCGAGCCGAGATGCCCGGAGATGGTAACCGCGGGTCCCTGAAGGCCGCCGCTCATCGTCGTGGGCACTTGGGCCATCTGGGCGACGGTACTCGGCACTTGGTGCATGCCGCTGGCTGCCTGGTGCAGCGTCGTGGGTACCTGCGGTATTCCGCCGGGCATCTGCGGTACCTGCGGTATCTGCGCGAGATCCTGATGACTAGCCGCCGCGTATTGGCAGGTTGTCAGTGGCAGGCTACTTATCGGCGAGTGGGTTATGCTACCGGCGTGTTTGCGGAGACGCGCCCTGCGATTACTGAACCACACCTGAAACGGTGCGCGTTACGTTATATTTAACGATGCGGCTGCGCGACGGAAGCCGCCGGATGAAAATCTCCGATAAGGAAGACACTTGGTTCGCGTCTCGGTCTTCTCCCGGGGCTGCTCGCGGCATGCGTTATATAAAGAGAACCGGTGAAATTGCAGCCGACATTTTCGACTGTATTTTCGACGGTGTTTTCGAGTAACAAAAGTACACGGTAAGAAATGTTTCGTACTTGTGTGTTGAAAAATTGGTCTTCGTTGAAAATTTTTGCGTTTAAATTCTTAACATACCACGTGTTAATTTGACATATTTTGTTTGTTATCTCAATATTTTGCGTTGAATCTCGATATTAACGCAATATAAGTATAAGTGTTACAATAACACTTGTAAGTGTTGAAATACATATTTTATACTTGTAAGTGTTGAAATACATATTTTACACTTCAATGTCGATTAACATATTGTGTTAATTGTTGATATAATATTGGTGTTATTTTCCAACATATTTATAATGTTAAATTAAAAGACACAAATTTGTGTGGCCCGTTTGGGACATGTGAAATGTGTTAAATTTAACATAAATTTTTATTATGTACAAAATCGTTATCGTTTGATATCGTGTCATCAAAAATTTTTGGAGTTCAATTTCCGTCCAAATCAGTGAAAACTTACAGTACTCAAAATTATAGTGATGACATCGTTTGGAATCGCGATAGTAATCTTGGAGTGGATTCTAAATCTATACGACACAATTTTCTAATTCTATTCTATTAGAGGGAATTTGCTTCTGTAATGGAAGAGTACAACAGATTTACTCGGTGAATCGGAGCAGAGAATTCACTTTATATGAGTGAAAAAATTACTCGGAATTCGAGTGACTCGGCTGCCGTATTTTTCGAGTGGAATTTCATTGCAAGAAATTTAGAAAGTATAGTCAATCGAAAGGAGACTGCATCACTCTTATCTCGATGAACTTCAGGACGCGTTCGACATCCAATAGGAAAGTCTATTTTGAGAATTATTCAATAACAAATTCTCTGATTGGATATGGATACGTTACGAAACCAGTCGCGTTAAAAGTATCGCAACTTGTTTTCCACTGATTATATATACTAGACATCGCAGAAAAGTTAGTCTAAAATCAATATAATATATATATTCTTATATATAAGCAAAAATTATAATCTTAGAAGATTTTTAGTCTTGATTCGATTGAATTCATATCGATGTAAGCATTATTCCCAGTCAATTCAAGGAATTGAATTAGAAATCTTCTAAGAATACTATAATATTCTTGCTTATATGTATACGAGAACATCTATCGTTGATTTAAAATTATTTTTTTCTAGATATACACGAAGGGATCTCGTCACGACGAGATACATTACGTTAACGCTCGCTGCTAAAGATCGTGCGAAACTCACTTGGATTCTCGCTTCGGTCAGTCCAGTCCTCTGGGCCAACTCCTCTCTCGCGTAAACGTCCGGATATTGAGCTCGGTGGAACGCAGCTTCCAGTTGTTCGAGCTGTTCGCCGGAGAACGTCGTTCTGCTTCTGCGTTGCTTTCGCTTTAGCGGTATACCCGGCTCGCTTTCCGTGTCGGAATCGTCACCGCAGCGACCTGAGGTTCGATCGTTTCTTATAATCGAGAAATTCGGAATAGCCGATCAATGATGGTTCACGATTCTCACCGGGAACATTCGTCGGAGAAATCGTTTACGGTCTGATTTCGAACCGAGATATAATCATCTTTCTCGCGTGCGAATTCGGTCGGCGTCGTCCCAGTTCGACTGAATAACGCATTAGCATGAAATATTTGCGGAGTTGAATTAAGCGTACAATGGACGGATATTTTTAACGCATTGCGCGTTAAAATTGCGATATATTGTACGGGCGTTCGATTTAGATGCAGATTTCTTATGAGAGCTCGTAGACTCCGTGACGAATCGGTTATTTTTCATGAAGAAAAAAGAAAAACCGTTTCGTTTACATCGCAGCCTTAGCAGCCGTTTTCTGGCTCACGGGTAAACAAGACGGTGGAACTAATTAACGGGCGATTCTGTCGGCGACGAAGGTACAAAGTCGAACGTCTCTCACGAACCGGGTCGATTCGCGCGAGCTTAAACGATGCGTGTCGCGATCTTGATCTCTCGCCTGGGAAAATTAATTTGCTCCTCTCAGTAACTTTCCGCTTCACACGTCGATTTATGTCGTTAAGCTTAATGTCCATCTCCTCGGGAGATTTATTTCCCATAGAGGATCCCGTATGATCGCCGATCGGCCGGGATTTAACGTTCAATCCTCTCGAGAGAGGATACTGCGAGCCCCTTAATATCCTCGCATTCAGCACTCGGTACCGAAAACATTTCTTCGCGATACACGGCCTCCCGTGAGCCTCCCCCTCACCCCACCTCATTGATATCTACTTGACCGAGAGAACGAGAAGCTCGTGCGTTCGTTTTCCCCCTCGACGAGAGAGAGAAAAGAAGCGTATGCACGATAAAGGGAAGCCATTGATAGAGACTGACCGCTCTCCAAATATTTGCCCCTAAGTCGACTTGTTCTCTCTCTCTCTCTCTCTCTCTCTCTCTCTTTCTCTCATTGTCCCACATTTGGCCATTATCGTGCGATCGAGCGTTCTCGCGAGCTATTGTCCCCGATCGAAGTCGAACATCGTCGTGCTTTCCCAGCCCATTCTTACCCGACTACGTCTCTTCCTCTTCAGAGGAGACTCCGGATCTCTCTTCGAGAATGGAGTTTAATCTCGCGCTCGGTTTTATCGTTTGCTCGAACGCACCCCAGGGACTCAGGGCGCGTAGAGACGAGTACGAGAATGGCTTGTTGTGACGTCCGACGATCCGTCCCGGCACAACAAACGGGGATTAGCTCGCTCTTTTTATTTGCCTACCTGTGCCAGCGCGCGCTATCGTCGATTCCGCGATGCGGAATTAAACGGCGACGACAGTAATTCCATTTCTTACGTCGGCCGGGAAGTTGCGGCTGATTTTTTCGCTCGCGATGCGCGCGTTTTCACGAGCAGCTATTATGTAACGCTCGATCGAACCGTCGGGATACCTCTCGGGAGTGTCAAAGTTGGCCCCGAGCAGGGGAGACCCTCAGACCCCTCGGGTTATTATGGAACGAAACCTGGAATTCATCTGATAGACCGAGCTCCGCCAAGTCCAGATTATCAATTTTCTTAAGGAGATCGGTTAAATAACGCAAGTGAGTCGAATACTCAACGGATTGCGTTTTGATATTACTGCGAGTCGAAATTTTAGTCCTACACTAAGTCTAGTTTAATTCTACATTAAGTCTTCAAAGATCTTCCATTCTATCTATACATAAAGGAGCACTTATTGCTTTGATGCTATAAATGGGAATTTCTTTTCGTTTTTTCCATTTGAAAACTTGATGTAAAATTTAAAATTTCGACTCTGGCAGTTCATAAAATAAACAAAGCACAAAACTAAAAACCGGGATACGAGACATCTTAAAGACATCCTACTTACAGACGACTTTAAGATATCTTAAAGATGTCTTAAAGACGTCTTCCTTCCCGGTTTTAGGTTTTGTGCTGCCTAGGTAGGCTCTTTTATACGATTGCATTAGAAAGTCCAGCGAGTCTTGAAAAAATATTCATTTACCGGGGAAGTGGAAATGATCGCGAAGTTGCGAAGCCGATTGTGAAATTGGTGGATGTAGAGATTTTTCCGAGGAATTTGCTGTTTTCTTCGCGTACAGTACAACCTGTTGGACAAATGTTCCCGATGGACGACAGGAGTCCTTCTCTTTTCGTGCGGTTTTTCACGTTTCTAGGCGGAGTAATTCCCTCCCTTTCTTTCTTCAACGGCGGGACTCGCGGCTTTCGAATGAACGCAAGTTGCCAGCGGGTGTCCTTTGAATCTATTGTGCAATTGTGCGGAGTTACGTTTTGTCAAAACGTGCCTTCTGTGCGTGCAGAGGCGAGTGCGTGGTCCATCATTTTCCCGAACGAAAAGCGCCAGGTATTTAGAAGAAATAGACAAAAGGCGTGCTTAATCCATTAATCTTGCATGATAATATCAAAAGGACCGAAGGTAACTCGTGTGTCGCCAGAGCATTTTTCTAACGAATTTTTTCACATTCTGCAAGTCAGCCGATCCATCCTTGGTACCTGTTAAAATCAAAATGACAGATTTTACTAGCACAAAGTGCTTGGAACTAACTTATAATCTACTCTCGATGTCGATCGTACGGTCTTAGTAGCAACGGCAGTAGTCATAACGCGGGACAACGGCGGAACGCTCGTTCCCGCACACTTCACAGTATTGTGCGTGTTCAGGTGTGTTGTGAAATATCGATGGGCATTTTTTCAGCGTTCATCGTCGACGTTGCTCTGCCCTCTCGCCGCCTCCACCTATACACGACCGCACGGTGACAGGAATTTAAACCTGGGTTTCGCCATCTTTTACCGTAGATGCAACTTGTCTCCGGGCTATTCTCCCATTCTTCCGTTTGTCATACGAGAAACGCGGACAAGCCGCCAAAGACGCCGCCAAAGGAGGTTCACCCGCTGCTCGGGCGGTGCGCCGGAAGAATTTCAACTGCGTGCCGAGAAGTACGAGACCTTGCGTTTTCACGTGAAGAATTCTCGCTGCATCGAGCTGACGGTGACCCGTCTTGTCAACACGGGGGGGGG